AAGGTAGACATAACCATATCTACTATAGTCGTCGGTGAAGGTAATGAAATATCGATAACCTTGCCTTGCGAGTGTACTCATTGGTCCACATACATCCGTATGTATTAGACCCAATAAGTCACTTGCCCTTTCTCCCAACTTGGAGAATGGCTGCTTTATCATCTTGCCTAATAGACATCCTTCGCAATTTTCAAACGACTGCAAGTCGAATGAGTCAAGAACACCTTCTTGAAGAAGTTTCTTGATGCGTGTGATGTTAATGTGGCCAAGACGACAATGCCACAAGTGGGTTTGATTCGACTCGATGGTCGTAGCCCTTTTGGCGGTATCATTAATTTGTCTAAACATATGTAATTATATAGAACATATAAACAAGACATTTCAAAAAACCAACTATTAATTAAGTCTTGTGATCTAAATAACTTGGTGTCCAACACCATAGATCAAGAGTATGTTCAAAAGCATGAGAAACAACCATTGTTTAATTACAAGTCATAGACAAAATAAATGTGCCTACAAGCAAAATCAAAAGACTATCTTTGTCGTCCGCTTGTTGATGCACATGGTATCCAATACCCTCTCACTTATGATGCCCTCTCACTTGGTTCTTGAAAAGGAACATAAAGTGAGTTACACATGGTATCCAATACCTATGAATAGCTTTATACACAAGTGTTAATGAAGATACCTAAGGCAGATGCCATATTCCTCTCCTCCTCATCCTTTCGGAAGAGCTTGCATTCCCTCTTGTAGTGGCCTTGCCCACCACAATAGAAGCATCACATCCTTGCCTTGTTCTTGAACTCCTTGTTCCTTGCTCTTAAGGGCCTCTCGGTCGCTCCATAGGAGGTGGCTCGGCTAAGCAATTGCACCACCTCTTTTAAAGAGCGTGTCTCCTTTCCCGCAGCTATATGCACTCTAAGTGCATCATAGCCCGAGTGGAGTGAAGCAAGCAAGATATGCCCCGCCATCTCATCATCCAATGAGATTCCAAGAAGCTGCATGTGTTTGAAAAGCCTAGTCATTCCAAGCACATGAGGTCGGAGGGGCATGTCGGGTCTTAATTTGGTGTTGTAGACCCATGACCAAAGCCGACGCCTTTCCTTAGTAAGACAACCTACATCCGGTGGCTTTATCTTCATGTGTGAGAGTGACCTAGTCAAATCAAACACGAGTCCATCATAGTTGCCATTGTCACTCTTGGTGACTCTTACATTGACAACATCCTCAAGTGATTTGAGGAATATATCCGGAAAATAGAAGGAGAGCTTTTCCTTCCAATCTCCCGGGATGGAATTAGCCATTAGATGTGTGACTTTCTTGCAATAGAAAGACCATTTATCATGAGCCTCATCGCTCATGATTCCCTTAGAGAAGAAGCTTGGAATGGGAGTATCAAGAGTGTACTCCATGGAACAATTCCGAAGAGTTTTCCTGAGTTCCTCCTCCCATTCCTTGGAGTTGACCAAGTTAAGGCTAAAAGCCAACTTGTCGGGGAGTTCCGGGCACATAGAGTTGTTGTTTGAGTTACTTGCAGACATGTTTCTACAATTGAAAGAATTTGAAAAGAAAAACCATTCATAAACCAATATGTTTGAAATTTAAAGTGATCATGCAAATTTTCAATCTTATTGAGCATTTTATCCACGCATTAACATTAGTCCCTTTTAGGCAAGAATAAAATGATTCCAAGATCCCAAAAATCAAAAAGTGATTAAGCATGCTTTGGCTTCTCTTAACACTTAATATTTTAGGGTAAGCAATCCAATTGCTAATAGCTCCAAGCTACTCTTGGTTCGATAAAACGTCGCATCTAGTGCTTCCTTGACATTTTATCTCGATTGCCACGACATCTAAGGACTCCTTACCGATATCGTTGAGCTTAACCAAGACGACTTGTATACCTAGTATACCTTACGTTCCTAGGGAAGCGGTGATGCCTCGCTTTGGCGTAGCCCATCACCACGCACATTAATTCGGTAAGTGTCGTTCTTAGAATGACAAATTTGGCTCAATATTATAGGGACCTAGGGTTTCTATGTTGGTTGATTTAAGTGAACTTAATTAATCATCGCAACATTTGAAATCCTAAACATGCATCTAACATATAATTCACATATATAAGTAAAATTATATATAGGAAACATGAAATAAGATGCATTTGGCAACTAGCATGACCTCTTGAAATCTTCAAATCTTCAAGAGTCTTCGATGCACCATCTTGGCTCGTCTTTCATAGAAACGTCGTCCTCAGACATCCCCGCCAAAACGAAATTACTAGCTACTACGACTAGGATTAATCTAAATATTAAGGTACAAAAATACGCAACGGTACGCAGACGCGCGACACTAGAAATGGACCCACTCCATAGAGAAGAGGACTTGTCCCTGTCCACTCTAGAGTCCCCATTCCCAGGAGAATAGCCGACCTCATGAGGAGACACGGACGAAGCCGAGTGTTGAGCCAGTTCGTATTTAAAGATAATAACAAGTATAAACAAAAGGGGGGAAGTAGTAAAGAAGAGCAAGCAGTTACCTCTTTACGTGTAGAAAACCTTGAGAAGTCTTTGAAAGTCTTGAAGGTTGACCGGAAAACTCAAAAACCTTACCAAAAACCTCAAACACATGACGGAGCTCTTGAAGATTAGGGAAGAAATTCCACTTTCTCTCTCTAAAAGCTCTAAATTCTCTCTAAAAAAACACAAAGTTCCAAAGTGACAAAATGAAGTCAAACCAGCTCTATTTATAGGCAAAGTTTATGAGGGTAGAACAGTAAAATCACCTTTTCCGCCTAGAAGCTTAAATGGTAACCTTTGAAAAGTTTAACCTAGAGGCTTGAACGGTTAAAAAACCGCTCCGTCATCTAAGACGGGAAGGTGTACGGCCACCCTAACGGCATGTCAAAATAGACGGACAGGTCAGCAGAATCCGAATGGTCATTCTAGAAAATACGGAAGACAGGTGTCCTACCCAAAGCCAGTCGGCACAACCTATCCGCCTAATTTTAAGATTCAAAGTCCCCTAATGAAATCAGGCGGACCGAACAAGGCATCCAGCCTAAAGGAAAAATCCCTTGGATGGACGGACAGTACTGTTCGTCTTTCATCAACGAGAATGCTCCATCAGCCTGACACTCGGATGTTACCGGACGAGTAAAAGATCAGAGGAGGCGGCCCGTATGGTAGGAGTCACCCCATATGGGGAAAATGTTTAGGGTAAAAAATACCCCCAAAACGTGGTCCAATCCCATGGCGACATGTGGCCCAATAAAAGGGAAACACATGTCCCTATAGGAAGATGATATGTGTCAAACATAGGAGAACCCTAATGAGAGAAAAGGTCTCCTTACATCAGGAGGCCCAAATCCCTAAAAAGCCGCAAAACGACGCCACTATAAGACACATGTCCTAACTTGATTGCGCCGCCAATTATAGCCCAACTTTTTAGGGCACTAACCCTAAAGGGGCACACTTTCCCACCCCTATAAATACCCCAATCATTTATGATGGGAGGGGTGGATTGAGACATATCATTCAAAAGCACTAAATAACTCTACCTTCACTCTACTTTCTCTCTCTACATTTACTTCTTTTTCCAATCACTAACTTAATCGTCAAATGCGAATATTCCGTCAACCAAAATATTCGTTATTTTGCAGGTGTCCAAGACCGTCTGGCTATATTCAAGACCAGTATCCCGAGGGATTCCAAAAAAAACCCCAAAACAAGTCCCTTATAGTATAATAATAATAGAGATTGGTTTTAAGAAAAATACCTTACAGAATAGAGATTTGTGAATTAAATAATTTTTTTATTTGAAAAATCATGCAAATTAAATAATTATTAACATTTTACAAGGAAAGGCGTTTTGCAGAAATATATTGACATCATTAAAGACATGTATGAGGGAGCTAGCACAAGTGCGAAATACTATTGGGAAGATTGAAGAGTTCCTAATTACAATTGGAGTTCATCAAGGTTCTTCACTTAGTCCATCCTTTTCTTTTTGCTCGGATCTATCATTCAAAAAGATAGAAATGGAGATGTAGCTCATAGGATCAAAGAGGGTTGGTTGAAGTTAAAGAGTGCGATGAGTTTTTTATGCAATCCAAGTGTACCCCATAGATTAAACGGAAAATTCTACCGAACGACAATCAGGCCTGCTTTGTTATATATATGGTATAGAACATTGGGCCGTAAAACATTGCCACATGTATAAGATGAATATGGCGGAGATACGTATGTTTGGATGTATGGTCATTGAAGAAAGGATCGATTGAGGAATGAGATAATATAGAAGAAAGTAGGGGTTACACCGATCGAGTATAAGATGATGGAGAATTGCTTAAGATGGTTTGGCCATGTAAGAAGGAGACCAATTAAGTGACGCTTCGTAAAGGAGGCTTGAAGAATTGCAAAGTGATGGGATTGCGGGAGGTAGGAAAAGACCTAAGAAAACTTGGAAGAGGGTGATTGAGAGTCACACGAGTGCTTTGGGGATTGAAGAAAATATGGTGTTGGTTAGGGTGGTGTAGAGGGAGAAAATTCGCGTCAACGATGTATCGTTATTATATATACTTGTTTTACAAAAATTTGTATCTAATTTTATTTTTTAGCCCACTACACCAATGTTTTATGAACTGTATTGTTTTCCTTTGTTAAAGTTTTCTCAAACCTGAATGTTTTTTAATTCAATGTTTTAACCACTCTTTTAAAAATTTCTGAAATATTGTTCTTGGTTATCTTTTAAAACTCTCTTATTTTCCTTAAGTGCTCTTTCATTTACTCACCTTTCTTCAAACTCTTTAACCGACTATATATGCATAATTTTCTTTTTTTTTTATTTTTTTTTTATGTCATACGATTTCTTATGCCGATTCATGTTATCTGGCTCCAAATTTTTTCCAAATTTTTTTGGAACTAACGCTTTATTGTTGTCGTTGTTTTATGTGAGTGACAACATCTTACCAATAATAAAACAGTTTAAATTTTTATTTTTATTGTCCCAGAAAATAAACCTTGTGGCTTTAGCAATTGATTTGATTACCTTGTGGCTTTAGCAATTGATTTGATTAACAAACTAAACGGCGCTGAACTAGAGTAACTACGGAGTACTAAACTAGGTGCTCATCACTAATTCTCATCCCTTCTTCAAAACTTCCAATTTCCAGAATCTCTTCTTCAGATTCAACGCTAAAATTCGACGCAAAATATGTTCAACACCAATAACAACATCAACAACAACAGCATCTCAATCCCAGTTTCCGACGAAGATTCCGATGAATACACCGCAAGAATGAGAGCCCGAGTCCGCCGGAAACGGAAGAAATCGTCAAACTTCCGATCCAACGCCGAATTAACTCGTCGAATCGTTAGGAAACTCGCTAAATGGTGGCCTCTCTTGGTTTTCCTTCCTGCTATGGCGTTGCTTCTTTTCGAAGCTTCTCGACTCGGCCGGAGACACAGTCATGATGAATTAAACCATGAAAGTAAATTGAATTTTACTTGGACGATGCTGGATTCACATGTAGATGGGAAATTGAATCGTCTCGATCCTGTTTATCATAATGTCGGTGGTACCAAAGAGCGTAAGTTGCTTTAGATTGCTTAATTAAAGTATTAATTTGTAGAATTTTAATTTGATTTTTAATCAATGTTTTATTAGTTTGTTGTTTTTGTGATATTGTTTGCTAATTGAATTTGGATTATTATCGTTTTATGCTAATGATTATGCATGAAGGAAAACAAACCGATTAGGTTGATTTTAAGATCACAATGAGAAAGCTAGAACTTCAGATGATCAGAATGTAGTTGTGAAATTAGTATTAAGATTAAGTTTCAAGTGCAAGCTATTACTTAAACTTGATCCCTTTGAGTTTCTTTGTTTTCAATTTATCTGCATTCTTTGTTGTTCCAATTTGGCCTAGTTAGCGACCGATCCCAGTTCATGTTTCAGGTAAAATTTCCGGAGTTAGTTTGTTATGAAATTTAAGTAATGTTGTTCCTCTCATAACTCGATTAATGGGTTTTACTAGTTAGGGGTAAGGTTTTGTTTATTTAGATCTTTGTAGGCTTGATAGATGCAGGATCAATTGTGAAATTCAGACCAGAACTTGTTCATTGTGGTAAATTGGTAATACTAAGAATTTTAATTTTTTGTTATGTTAGGCCGTTTATGTTATTTAGTGGATAGTATATTTGTTCTACCTGTACAAGAATTTAACTAATTTTCTTTCTGTCATAGGTAAAATTAGCTAATAGTGATCAGGCTCTGATTAACATGTGGGGCTTTTAGTGTTTTAGGAATCAGCAATACGTGCAATATTTTTGCTGGTTTTGAGCAAATCTGCGTTCTCTGTGGAGTTAAGTCTTCGGTATAATATAAATGTGATATTTTGAAGTGAGGGATTGGTAGATGGTATCTTATTCTAGTCTTTGTGAAGTGTGGCTTTGCTGTGGGAAGTGCTGCAAGTCAATTATGTAATTGCATTCTCTTTCTGTCTTTAAATGAGTTTAATTAACAGAAAACTTAACAAGTGTGGGGTTACTCTCTTCTGAGTGCATTGTCCCCTTTTTTGTTTGTAAAGAGGTAAGTTAACTGCTTGCTCTTATATCATGTGTTGCTTAGTATCAGACATTTGCAATCATTATGCTGTATTACTCTTATTCTTAGTATTATGAATTAATCACTCAAGCTGCATTGATACGGTTGGACATCTTATGAGTCAGGCTCTTGGGTCTGGACATCAGAAATGAAAAGAAAATTAGATAGTTAACCGTGGAGATAAAGATGTTGCTATAAGAGTTTATATCTTTTCCATACACCTTTTATATGGACGGCAAGTATATTGATCTTTAGTGTAAATTTGTTGGTTGTATCAGGTTGCTTGCCAATCCTGTCAGCTGAAGATCTTGAGATTCTGGATATTCCCACGGAACTGAAAGGTTCAAAAGGCCCTGTTAAGAATGTGATTTATATTTCAGAAGATAATGACCCTTATGCCGGAGAAAATTCAACATTTTCTTTTCAGAAAAGAAAACCTGGAAGATCTAGCTTATTTACAGGGTACCAATCACTTGTTCAAAGGGAGAAGAGTTTCAAGGTTGGTTGTTACAACTAAAAGTTTTTGCTCTTGACGTGAAGAGTTGGATGCTACTCTATTCACATGAATATAAATAGATCATTAGGCTTATGATAATAATTAATCTGAACTTTTTCTGTCAGCATTGTGTAATATGGGAGCTGTTTTGGCTGAGAGTAGTAATGAAAGGGAAGAGAATCAATCACCACAATTCACATGAAAACAAAATAGACAATAGGCATTTGACAAATTTAAAATTGAATCAGGACATAGGAGATTGAGGGATGGTTAGTCCCTCCATCTCCCCCCCTCCCCCTCCCCAAGTGGTTGGGGGTTCGATCCTCAGCCCCCACCCCCCCCCCCCCCCCCCCCCCCCCCGCCCTCCATATCTTACCGATCAATATATATATATATATATATATATATATATATATATATATATATATATATATATATATATATATATATATATATATATATATAATTGAATCTTTTGAGTAAGCATTGCATTAGAATCTCGGGTCTGTTTGGTTGGGGATGATGATGAAAAATTGAAAGGGAAAGAGGATCACCCTTACCAACTCGCGATTAGCTCTTGCCCACCCTCAACTCTACCCACCAGTCCACTGTCCACTCATCGCACATCATCACCTAAATCCGACAATCAAGATATAAAAAGAGAGGATAAGGGCAACCAACCATTCTTGTCCAACCACCGCTACTGTTCTGAACTTCTGATCTACACAATGGCGATATTTTAGTTCAACCTACCTTTCTCCACTACCCATTTCAGAAAATTATTAAAAAAAAGGGGAGAGAGATAGAGACATTATTGGAAATCAGAATGCCGATAAGAGATAGTGATGGCAGAACTTATAAAAACAGTTCCTCCTATTAAATAAACTACAGTAGCTAGCTAATAGCATATTAAAATTCTATCTGAAGAAAATCACCTCAGTAATTTCTCTTCCACTGTTGTGTATTATCATAAAAAAAAAATCTTGATCTTGAACTAGCCTGTTTGCCAAGGTCCTCAAATGAATTACAGTTTACATGTATATTTTCCTTATGCTTTATTTTTATGCCTGAATGTTGAATAGCTGTACAGGTGAGTTACAGCTAATATTATAACCTAATGTTTCACTGTTCTTTCATATTCAGGTGACTGAAACTCCTGTGGTGCATTGTGGTTTCTATAGTGAAAATGGAGGATTTAAGATGTCACTTGAGGATGAAAAATATTTGCAAACTTGCAAGGTTGTTGTCTCTACTTGTGCATTCGGTGGTGGGGATGATCTTTATCAACCTATAGGGATGTCGGAGGCATCCCTTCAAAAGGTTTGAATCAGTTCTTTTCATAGATTGAGGGACACATGAATTCTTTTTATTTTTTTACCCTGTGCTTATTAGCTTGAACTGCTTTCAGGTCTGTTATGTTGCCTTTTGGGATGAGATCACCCTTGCTACACAGAAAGCACAGGGGAGGAAAATTGGTGATGACCATTATATTGGCAAGTGGCGGATTGTGATTGTCAAGAATCTCCCTTTCCCTGACCAGCGGTTGAATGGTAAAATTCCTAAGGTAGTGTAACTATTTCTCTATGCTATGTTACAACTTTGCGAATATGTGGACAATGTCCTTGCCTAAGGTTCCCATGGATGCTTAGCATGTAACTGTTTGTCACAACACGTGAGGCTTGTAATTCTTAAGACTCTTAACTGATAAATGTAGGAAAGAAATCCTTAATTGACCTCCTATGTTGCACAGAAATGTTATTTTTGGCCGTATTTCCACAAACGGAACGTTTCCCTTTGAAATGTCCAGAAATATATAACTATTGGCCGGGGTTACTTTTTCTGTGGAGAGGGAGGAATTTCGTTTCCTGTCCTACGAAAAGCTCCCTTCCACAAATAAAACCACCCCAGTACTAAATTATTAATGTGACAAACTTCACAACCTACTTTCGTTTTCCTTCTATGATTACTAATTTACACTAGTGATCTCCGATGCAATAACTATCTATGGCATGTAGTTTGCATCGCCAGTATTTAGTTTCCCCTCCCATGTTATTTTTGGTGGTTTGATCATTAATTTGAAAGACAAGAGGTAGGGAAAATAGAGACAAAAAGAAGGATGGGGCTGGGAAACCAATAAAAAGTATTGGACTGAGCAGATTTTAGTATTTAATCTGCTATTGAAACACATTCAGCAGTTGATACTTTTTAAAAAACATGATACTACCTCCGTTTCATAATGGTGTTAATATTTTACCTTTTCACGCTTGCCAATGTAAAACTTAGAGCAGTAATATTGTAATTATGTATTCTTAAAATTATTATAAGTTGATATTTCGAAAATATATATTGAGATGAATATAACAAGACCGCACATTACTATATTTTTATTACATATAGATCATAAACTGGTCTAAGTGTGTTTTATGAATAGTGATAAAATTCAAAATATTAACGTCAATATGCAACGGCGGTAGTATTTTCTTTGTATCTCCTTCAAATTGTGTTTAGGCTGGTTCGAGTAAATAGAATGCTAGAGATCTACGAAAACTATTTCATTGTTTTGTGAAGGCTATCATAAAATATGATGAATCATATATAATAAGAATTTTTTTTTTGGGGTTGAGGTTTTACATTGCTCCTTTATCTTGCATTTGAGTTTCTGATTTCCATTTCTATTTTTGTGTGTAGATGATCACATCATATGATATTTTATTTTTCTAGTGTTATCTTTTGGTTTTCCATGTCAACATCATGTTAATACAAATCTTAGGATAAACAATTAAACTGTTTCATCCCTCATAAATATACACCTTTTACTCTAAGAGTACTCTCATGAAAGTCACTCCATATCTGATAAACAGTCGCGGAGTCATCCTGGTGTCTTACTTTTAAACAACTCAAATAGTCTAATGTGGTTCGTTTAATTCTTTTGTATGTTCATGTACAATGGCACAAAACTCGTGAATGTGACATGGATGTCATAGTGTGGCATGGATTGCTTGATTTTAAACTCATGTAAACGATACCTCTACTCTGGTGCTAAGGGGAAAAAAAAAAATCAGCTTCATTTTCTGATTAATAGGGGTGTAATTGGAGTTGTATTTGGAAAAGCACATGCTGAACTTGACTAGAGCCTGTTCATAACAAAATAATCAGACTTGACACACTGACCTAGAATAACTAATGGCTACTCAAGTCTTTTAACGGAATTTAGGGTTTGAGAGGGATTTCAGAGTTTAGCTTCTTCAAGTTTCTGAGTATTTTAATACCCCTTCTTTGTGCTGCTTTGATGATTTCCAATCTTCCTTCTATAGGAAGGTTAACAGATTTCTTGCCAATGGATAAGCTCTAAATTGACAGTTGGTACTCTGTTATCTCTCTTCCTTGATCTTTGTTTTACTCTGAGGTCTAGAATCTAGTGACATGTCATTATGGTTTTGTTCCTGGTCTCTCTCACTTCACTGACATAAAATAGTCTGATGCCTTTCCTTTTTGCTGTTTGTGTTTAAGATCATGTTTCTTCAATGAATATTACTTATTTTTTTTATTCCTTTTGTTAGATGTTGGGCCATCGGTTGTTCCCAAATGCATTATTTTCCATTTGGGTTGATTCAAAGTCTCAGTTTAGGAGGGATCCCTTGGGCGTTCTGGAAGCACTGCTTTGGCGATCAAACTCTGTGCTTGCAATTTCACAACATGGCGCTCGCAGTAGTGTGTATGATGAGGCTAAGGCTGTTGTCAAGAAAAATAAGGCAACCCCAGAGGAAGTAGAGGTGCAACTTACTCAATACCGCCTTGATGGGCTTCCTGAAGACAAAAGATTTAATGGAAGGAAAGGTATGATGCTTGGTGCTGTGAATTATTAATATCTGAGACCTCTGATAATCTTATTCATGTCAGATAATATGTTTACGTGTGCTTAGTAAATGGAATTTCTCAACCTATGGCTCCTTCAATATGCCAATTTTGCTAATAAAGTTGAAATTTAGATTGGTTGCTAATTCAAGAAATATATTCTTTGTGCAGCTCTAGCTGAAGCTTCCATCATTGTTAGGGAACACTCACCCTTAACCAACCTGTTCATGTGCCTTTGGTTCAATGAAGTGGTTCGCTTTACATCCCGGGATCAGCTTAGCTTTCCTTATGTTCTCTGGCGGCTGAAAGTCCTGAATGATATTAATATATTCCCTGTATGCACCCGCAAAGATCTTGTTAATAGTATGGGACACATACGCAAGGCAAAACCATTAGTCACTTGATCTGCACTTAAAATTATTTCACAATTCCTTTTTAAGCTCTTTTTGGAGCTTGATAGAAAGCAGATTTTAGACACATTGACTGCTGACATGTTACATCAAACTTGATAAATTGGAGCCCGAGAATGGAAATGGTATTCTACCTTACCTTACGGTTCCTAGCCTCCATACCACGCCCAGAGCTGTGAGCTGCAGAATGTATGATGATGTAGCGAGCCTCATTCTTTCAAATTTAACTGGTTTGGCATCCATGAAAGTCAAAGAGAAAGGACAGAAACCTAGAGTGTACATTTCATAGTGTAAATTTTATTTTATTTGAATATTTTTTTCTCCAGGCATTATTTTTTTGAATGTGAAGTAGGCTATTCATTTGTCTAACTAAAACAGTGCCTTAGATTAGTTGATATGAGAGTTTGAGATCTAACTAGCTTATGGTCCATTATTGATTTGACGAACACTTGTAAAATCAGGAGAGAAAAAAAATGTACTTTCTCTGTTCCTTTTCTTTTGCATTATTTCCCTTCGCCTTTGATTATAAATTTAATTTTGTGTGTGGCGCGCGCGTGCTTGTCGTTGTATACTAGAGTTCTATCTATTTCCTTGGTTAATAAATTTTCAATTTTTCTTTTCATAAAGTTGGGTTCGATACATGTAAGAATATACTTCTCCCGTTCCTTTTAATTTTATAAAATAACAGATGTTTATGTATCTCCTACATATATATTGAAGTAGCTCTTGGTTATCATGTTCCTGTTCTTTCAAATGACTAATTCTGGTATGTGAGTGTGCGTATTTTTGCTCTGTAGTCACAGCGAATTATCGCTTTATACGGATGCGATTTTCACTTTTGCTTAAGTGATCTTAATTTTCAGTTACTGCTTATACAGTTGTACTCCTTCCTGATACTTGTGTAAGATGGAAGTTTGTTAAATGGTTAGGCACAAGACCTTTCTCAACATTTGTTCTCTATTATGATGAGTGAGGTTGGCGTAAGGGCTGATCATCTGTCAGCGTAGGCAAGTGATGAGTTTCTATGACTCGAATTCTTGTATCTGATCCTTATATACTCCATTCAGGCAGGCTTACTTATGTTTCTGAATAATAAAAAGCACTGTAATATTTTCATGAACCATTGTCATGGGAAGATCTTAGCAATTTTCAATGGACTTTTTTCAGTTATTTTCCTTTTCTGCTGTCTGCAGCCTCTGCATCCTTCTTTAGACGAAAGTATGCCTTGCGAACTACGCCCTTATTTATGATTTTGTTATGCTGGAAATGTATTCAGCCTTTCAGCTCAATTTGAAATGCTATATTGGCCCAAACTCAACATCCTTTAGGAAACTAACTATTTAGGCTGCAAAGCTTCTTTACGAGTGAAAATCAAGCAAGCTAAATATTGGCCCAAACTCAACATCCTTTAGAATTTTATATATGCAGTAGAATGCTAATTTATGCTCTTTCAATCTAAATTCTATTCTATAGTTTGCTTTTATAACTACCTATAGACCACTTAATGCAAGTCTCACGAGAAATGCTTGGTTGATGGATGGTTTCATTTAGTCATCGTGCAGCAAAGTTTTGGAGAATGGACTTGTCAAGCAATCTTAGTATTTACTTTTCATTGCGTGCAAAAATCTTGCTACTCTTGATATTTACACGGGAAGCTGAATAGAGATGCATCACCTTAAAGCCGTTCAATAGCTGGGATCATTTCTAACTGACATTTTCAGAGCTGAACTTATGTGGGATGGATAACTCATAATTCCAATGTAAGGATTTATTTCAGAAAACTGGCGATTTTACTTATATGTACACAGATCACGGGTCTATGCTTGATCTTTCCTGCTTGTTAATTTGGTTACTTGTACCGCGTGTGTTGTCTACAAATCTACCTTTATCGTTCTTGTTTAAAACAAAAAATAGTTGCTCAAGGACTATTAATGGATTAGGTGTCCCTGACTCCCTGGAACATATTACTGATAAAATATTATGCGAAAGAAATGCTTTGTGATATTAACTGTGGATTAGGTGGCCAAATCTGGTACTTGAGGAGCAAGTATACTTGAAAGAAAATTCAATCATTGATGGCCCTTAAAAAGTATGCTGAATTAAATTCCTGAAGAAGTTTATTTGATGGAATAATGTTAGCTAAGATAATATTCTGCTCTGCTGTTTCTTTGGCCACATTGGCAGTTCTCCTATTAGCGCTGCTTTTATCGGTTCCTTACAGAGATCATGAGAGTAATTCGCAGAAGCCATTGGTTGCATTGTCCTTGTACATCCAGCAACCAACAACTTTGAACCGTAACATGCACCGTGATGCAGAGACTTCTACAGGGGTGTTGACCTTCCATCGGATGCTCACGGAGGGACCTGAAAGCACGTCGACAATTGTAGGAAAAGCACAAGGTTTTATCATACCTGTGGAGCATTTTGCTCATTCAGCCTTTAATGTAATATATCTGACATTCAGCACACCTGAATATTCAGGGAGCTTGAGTATTCAAGCAAAACAATTGGAACATAAGAAGAGAGAAGAGCTTAAAGTGGTTGGTGGTACAGGCTCTTTCGCCTTTGCTCGTGGCATTGCTGTTTTCACAGAGGCCGATCAGGATACTTCTGGTGTTGATGCTCCCATTTATCAAGTAGACTTACAGCTAACCTTTCCAAGTCAATCGCAATCTATGCGGGTATGAAGGGTCTATTGATTAGCTAGGACAGATTTTTCATTAAAATTCTGGGATTATTATAATTATGTCACACCTATGTTAGCAGAAATTGTATAATATTTGCCATGTAATTTTGTCACTGTCCAATAAAAGGCTTTAAATTTTGCATTTTTTTCTTTTTTTTCAAAACACTCATATGCTAAGATACTCCATAGTTAAACGTATTTGGTTGGAAATAATCATAGGATGAGTGATCCCCTAAAAGGTTGCTCAGGATGCGTACGAGTGATGACAAAATGTGCTGAAAAAACTTGCATTAATATGTGAAAATTATTGATACTCGATGGGAGATGGGAGCAGACTGCAGATACTTCTAACAGGAAAACACAAAATTGGTCATTACAAAAGCGCCCAAAGCCGTATTTCGGCCAAGACCACGTCGCTAAGAAAAATTGTAGCCATGCTTCTTAGTCATGGTCATACCCAAAGTTATATTTTCTATATCATTGATCATTGCGACTGATAGGCGTGTCGCGTACCTAACAAAAATAACCTAACGAAACCACTACTATGTAGACGGGCAAGTAAGGATCGAATCCCAAGAGACTAAGGTTCACCTAATTAATTAGACTCAAATAATTACTAAGCAAGTAACAAATCAATGGTGAAGTATACTATAAACTAATGTATGAAGAACTTAACTAATCTAATAAATATAACGAATCAATGAACTAAAACATCCAAGATCAAGCATTACCACAAATACAATCAATGCATAAACAATTCTACCCCCAATATTAATTCAATCGACAAGAGGAAAAGTATTCCCTATAAAATGCCAAAGGTCTCTTTCGAGTTATCAATGGCTTCCCAAATTAACTATCAAACCTATTTCCATGGAATCAAGCGCATAAGGGACATTAAACACAATACTTAACTTCCGAATCATTCAATCAACTATTTCCATGATAATCTTCAAACCCTTAATTGAAATACCCAAATCCCGTTAATATTCAACTTCCGTTACAATAAGAACAAAGGGATGATAACAATACTAATTATTCCTAATCTAGTATTGGCATAAACACAATCAATTAAGCATGTCAATTGGAATTATTGGAGAATTTAAAGAATTAACCTAAGCATTAATCATATCCGGGCTTTGCAAGATCATGGATTGAGAATCTACTCACACATACTAGCAAACCCTAAAACAATAATCAATGGAGAAAACATAATTAAAAACAATAATAATTGAAAGAGAAGAGAAAAGAGATGAATACCAAAGATGCTTCAATTGAAATAACTCAAATTGTTGATGAACAATACTCAAATCTAATGAAGTAATTAAATTGCAATGAAAGAGAGTAACTAAGGTTCTAGAGAGAGAAAATAAAGCTTAAGGAATTAACTGAGTGTTTTCTAATAATGATTACAAGGAGTATTTATACCCTTAATGAGATAAAAATTCGAAAATAACAAATCCGGTTTCCGCGTAACTGTGCCTGGTCCAACCGGGCGAACACTGCCCGATCGGGCAGGTAGAAGTACTAAGCTGCGCTGCCTTCGTTGCCTTCTTCTCCCTAGAGCTCGATCCCACTGGGCAGGTGGTGCCCGATCGGGCGCGAGGCTCAAACGTTGGCCTGCTGCTTGCTGCCTTGCTCTTATTCTTGTGGCGCCTTCCACCACCACGCGCCTGGTCCAACCGAGCAGACCTAGCCCGATCTGGCGCGTGATGCAGCTACCAAATTCTTGCTTCTTGCCTTCGTATTTTGAGCACCAACCACAACTCCTCAGTGCCCGGTCCAACCAGGCATGCACTACCCAACCGGGCACAGGAGAATCAAGTAGCTTGTAGTCCGTTTTTAGCTCGTTCTTCCTCTTTGCTTCACTAACATCTCCCATAAACACCCGAAACGTGTCCGAATCATCCAAGAAACTCCAAATTCCTATAAAACTCACAAAAACACATCGAACACACTAGAGAAGAGATTGTTAGCGAGAAACGGCTCTAAAGAGCCTAAAACCATGCAAGAATATGATGTAAAATCGGCATAAATCAATGTATAAAACGTGTACATCAAATTCCCCCAAGCTAACCTCTTTCTTGTCCTCGAGCAAGGCAATCTAAAATAATCAACAACAATAAACATACTTCACCCCATAATGCAATTTTTTAAACAAAGGACTAAAAATCGAAATCAAACAAGCATGCATCTTAGCCAACCAATCAAATCACTCAAACCATCGATCAACCTAATAGTCGTCAAACGAAATCAACCATGTACAACTCAAGAATCGATGACTAGAATATCTCACATTGGTGGTCACTCAACACATTTTTTATGTGGCAAGCTAAAAACGAGCTCGATCTCTCACCATCCCCACCAATAGTGCAATCCCCCCATCTCACAACACTCGCGTGTTTAGAGGGTTATATTATCGCTCAACCTAGTCAAATTTCGACTCGAAATGTGACATATACTCCAGCATTTTGACAAAAGACTCGTTTCACATGAACACAATACTATGCACGGAGATCGGAAGGACTTTTTCAAGCTTGTAATGTAGGCCGGGGTAAGAAATAATTTGGGAATTGTGGCTATTATAGTCTAACCGGGGAGCTATCAAATGCAATTAATCACATCCTCGATTCACCATTTTCATTAACAATGCATATACCCAAACTATAGTAGAAACACCCACTATCTCTTTTCACATTTTTTTCAACTTCAAGCTTCTCTCTCTTTTTTTTTTTCTTTTCTTCCTTTTTTTCTATTTCTTTTTTTTTCTTTTCTTTCAAGAACAAACATACTTTCTTTTCTTTTGAGTTCAAAATTTTTCTTCTTTGTTGTTCTTCTCTCTTTGGTTCTTTTTTTTTTCCTTCTTTATAGCAAACCTCCATGCTAATATTTCCTTCTTTTCTCTCTTTTTCTTTTTTTTTTCCATACATCTCCACATTAATTGCAACTCGTAACAAAATCACACAAAATACCACGCAATGAAGCTCCCCCAAGCTAGTCTTGGGAAAAGTAACCAATTCGGGGCCAAAGGGTAATCTTGTGAGGTTCACGAAAAATATGGACAAGCTACAACATGGGTGAGCAAGAAGGGAACAAACGTTTGAATTTCATCTGGAGGTCACCTAATGAATATGGCCTTCGTCATTTTCAACGTGCACGTGCAATGCATTATGACACATTACTAAAAGTCTAGAATCAAAACTAAGATCAATGTTACACCAGGAACTAAACACACATGAATGAATAAATAAGGCTCAAGCCTCATGGTTAACACAGTCAAGCTCCAAACTCATATATGGTTAACAACATTGACTCCTACTAGGGATCAAACAATCCAAGGTCAAATCATGATCTTTTAATTCACAATGCAAGTCTTTCAATCCAAATTAAATCAAAACCTTTTGGCATTAAGGATAGGGGCATAGGGAAGTAGTTCAATGGCCGTTCATTATCATGATTCTCGTATTTTTCATTTTTTTTTTTCAATTTTTCAATGTTTTTTTTTTCAAATATACTACCAAAAATCAAACCTAACTGTCAAAGCAATGAAAAACACACCAAAGAAAATAAAAGAAAACAAACCAAAGCAAAAGTACTAAGAGAACGTACCAAAAAAACTATGCACAAACTTCCCCCAAGCTACACTCGGCAATGGCCTCATTGCAACGTGTGGGAAGTAGGAAACACGCATGAGTCCTCAGGAAAACTCATCATTGCCACCATCATCATCGTCATCACCATCAGCATCAACACCGTCATCGTCACCGGCCGCCCCACTACTACCTGCAATGTCACCCGTATCGGGAAAGGTGTACCACGAGGGATGGTCTGCATTTCTCAGGATATGACTTTACCTGCAAAAGAAATCGTAAACAGGATACAAAGACCGACGAACATCGATCTCTAGTGTCTGGAGACGGGAGGATAGGCCCTGCTGGCCTAACTGAAGCTCCTGTATTCCGGCCATGATGGCCGCATGATTAGAAGAGACAGGTGGAGTAGTGGAAGGGGAGGGGCCAGCTTGATCTCGCCTATGGTAGGTCCTCGTGAGGGCAACTGGTGGAGGTGGACCACTAGGGGCCTCTAGAAGGTAGGAGGGCTGGTGAGGGTGGATCCCAGTGAGCTCAGGAGCGGGTAAGGAAATGGATCGTCTAGTGCTCCTGACTAAAAGCCAGCTGTAACTACCATATTCCACCGACAACCAGCCGGTGGTAGTGAGGTAATGCTGGTCCAAAGTGATAGGACCTAGCACAGGTCTGTGTTAGGCTTCAACAAAGCCCTCCTTAACCGCTAGGTGAGTCACTAAACCGCCTAAAACAATAGGAATGTTAGTGCGGTCTCCATTGGGTTTTAGGGTAGTGAAGGTAGCCCCTTGTTTCCTAAGGTGGAGGGCGAATAGATGAGCTATGTTCATTCGAAACCCCTCCTCATCATCCCCATATCTAAGGTATCTACCTTAAATGGCCACTTTGTCCGCCCTAACATTATTTGGCTCAATTCTCCCAAAAATTGTCCACCCCGAGGATCTAGTCCATAGCCTAAGGATCGGTTGGTGTATTTTGTGGGCATGGGCATGTTGCATTGAATCAATATGTTCTCCCGTCATAGCTAACCATAGTTCCCCCGAAGTAAAGTTGTCGGGTTGCACGGTTAATCCCGTGGAGGGGAGGCCAAACAAAACCTTCTAGGGTGAGTCGATGAGATTTGTTTATAAGTCTATATACTACATGCGTTACTAATCCATCTCTACCCTTAACAACATCAAATGAACTCAAAAATTCAAGTGTAATATCTTCAAAAGTGTAATGAATCATATTGAACAATTGAGTCATACCAAGCCTAGAAAATAAATTCCTACATTCAATATCAATACCAAGTTTAGCAAGAAGAGATCGGTCTATAAATCGAGTGGGGATTACCTTTCAGTGTTGGAGCTCAAGAAACCGCGTCTTTTGATTTGGGAACTCGGGCACGAACGAATGTTTAGATAGGCGGGAATGCTTTACAAATCTAGTTGTTGTTGTTGAGGTGCTCCCCTACTTCTCTTCCTTGTAGCCATGGATGGAGTTGGAGCTTTCTCTCTCTAACTTGAAAAATGGGGTTTTTGGTGATAGTGGTGTTGGAGGTTAGAGAGATGGTTATGAGGGTTGGAAATTGAATAAGGATGATGGAGGATGAAGAAATTAAGAATTTTGGTTAAGATTTAATGGAGAATTGTAGAGATTGAAGGAGGTTA